CACCAAAGTGGCCTGACTTTAAAAGTTTGTTTAAGCATTTAATTATGTGTTGTAAATTGTTCAAAATTATTTGATGTTATATGGTAACATAAAGAGTGAACAATTTAGCTCATTAATTATAACGCTAGGAGATCACTCAAAGGTGGATCATTGTATATGATTAATTATTATGTTACTCTTAACCAACACTTTGCTTGAGGACAAGCAAACAGATAAGTATGAGAGAGTTGATAAGTCTGTAATTAGGCCCTCTTTTACAGTCCATATATTCATATTTGACCTTTATTTTATTTAGGTTTTACACTAATTTATATATTAATTGTGCAATTTGGTATAAAGAGGCCGCAAGTGGATTTTGGGTGCATTCTAGTCCCAAATTGATGGAAGATTAGAGCTTTGGAGCAGTCAGTACGCCCAGACCCATTCAATAAGCACGGGGGTGCTTTAAGCCCATGCACGGTCGTGCTTAAGGCCTTGCACGGCCGTGCTCATCTGCGGGAAGCCCATTAATAAAGAGTTTTTAGGGTTTTCAAATCCTATAAAAGGGAAGATCTCAGACATCATAAAGGAAATATTTTTACATCTAGTCTTTGGCTTTCGGATACACCTCTCGTCTCTTTTCTCTTGCACGAGATCCTTGGCACATGCATGGCGAGACTTGGAACTTCAAGCGACCGTACTTGAAGACTGGGAACTCATCACACTCTAGTTTTGCTATTTCTTTTCTTTATGGCTTTGTTTATGATTGTTTTAGTTCTTTTCTTTAGCATGAGTAACTAAGTCCATAGCTAGGGCTATGGGAACTATCGTTCATGAATTTATGGAATTTTGATGTTTGAATCTAAATTTGATTTCCGCTTTGTGATTAGATTTTATCCTATTGCGCTTCTTTCTTAATCCTAATTAATTATATCGTCAGGTAACCGTACCTCAGTTAATTAATAAATCTATAAGGTAAAACGAGACAAAGGATTAGGTGGATCAAACCAATCTTTCTCTTCTAATCATTATTAAAGTAACAAGTTCATAGGTTCCTTAAGCTTTCTTAAATTAATGTTTTGCATGACCATTGGGGATGTTAATTTAGAGAAAAGAATATTAATATTGCACGACCATTGGATATTAATAGTATTTATATGAATGATTGGTAATCACAAGGAAATCAAATTTAGAGTTAAATAGAAAAATAATATAAAGGATTGAATGAGAAAACCCATATGCCCTAAGTTCCTCTCCGATAAGTTTAACCAAGACGTGTATTGTATTCCTTGCTCTTAGTTTTATAATTGATTTTATAAATTCTTATTTTTAATTTATTTTGTATCTTTGAAGCTTAAACAATTGAATTAGGAAATTCTTAGTAATTGAAAATCAATTCTTGTAGGACGATATTTTGGGAACTTAATTTAAGAACCTATTATTACTTCTCGATGGTACACTTGCCCTCCAAACATCTAGTCAGGAAACGAGTGTGAGACCATGTGATGCATTTGCTCTCAGAAAGAGTGTGTACACATACACGAATGTCGCTCACCATCCTACGTTTCTCCCAAATTTTCATCGTCTCCAGACTCTATACCCCCAGTGTATCTTTGTAACTATTTACACTAGATCAAATCCATATCTGACTCTTAGGTCATTTCTAGAGTTATTCTCTTCTGTCCCACTCATAAGATCGTGCTTAGTAAATCACTTCCAAACTAAGTCCATTCCACGCATACATTCATTGATACAATTTCAATCATAAAATCTTTGATATCAACATTATTACTTTATATTATTATACTCACATATATTTCATAACATCATACAAAATTACACAGAAGGTTCCATATCACGTATTCATCATACAATGCAAGTAAGCATATATCAGTCATTTGGCCTAGACAAGCAAGCTTTATATGCTCGCTTGAGCGAGCTCCATATGCTCGCTTGAGCGAGCTCCATCTCGCCTGAGCAAGATAGTGTCCAAAGGGTATGTCATTTTTCCTGTGGGTCCTCGCCTAAGCGACCCATCTCGCCTGGGCGAGGTGACAGTTAGGCAACACTTATCTTATCTCACTTGAGCAAGAATAGTCTCGCTTGAACGAGATAGCCCTACTACAAGATATTCCTGCGCGTTCAATCTCGCCTAGGTAAGATTTATCGTGCCTGAGCGAGATCTACTACATCACAATCCTTACAAAAATCCTCTATACTCCCTTCTAAATACACTCAAATACTACTTAATATTAAAGAAAACATAAATTACCAAAAAATGAAAAGAGGATGTTACAATCTAACTCTACTTTTCTCCAACTTGTATGCTTTCCTTAATATATTTCATGGTAATGTTGGTGTACCTGCAACTTACTTCTTCATATTCATAAATCTTAATGTTGGAATTGTATTTTTCTATTTTTCATTCTAGATTTCTATGTCTTTTATGTGTTTTTGTTTTTTGACTTTTCCCTTTCACGTTTTGTAATTTTGGAAAAACAACTCAACATGCCTCTTGTTTTATAATTTATCCATATTTTATTAGATAGTCTCTCCATGTTCCATATTCCTTTTTAGCCTTCCCCACTTGAATTTTGAACATTTAAGTCTTTTAATGTTTTAACAGTTTCTGCACTGTCTACATGATAATCTAGGTTTTCCAAGAAGAATGTTGATGCATTGTTCTCTTGTTTATGTAGGAATTATACGATGCTCATTATGAATTTTATCATATTTTCTTAATCAATCCATCATTGTCCTTTGATCCTTGGGCTTAGCATCTCAACGTGTGGCTTCTATAGTAGGTACAGCCTCTTGCTGCTTGGTAGTAATGGTTGATGTAGGACTAAGATGATGCCAAGAAATTATTTTGTTCCCTCTATAACAACATCTTAAGAATTTTGTGTATAGGCGAGCATTTGATAGATAGTATTGCAACAAAGGAACCTCGAGGTTGAGATTATTGCTATTTCTTCTTAGGCCAGGCTTCCTAGGTCTTTCCATGCTTTTGTTACATCTTAAAGTTAAATTAAGATTATGGTAACATGTAACTTCGACATTGCTGAATTGAATTCAATCAAGTTGTGACAAAGGAAGTGGATATTTCACTTAGAAGGCTGAACAATATACAAATGTCGCTGTTATTTTCAAATAACATTGCCCATATCAAGATAAACTAATACCTATTGTGCAGGTGTATAGGTGTCTTTATGTATTTAACGGGTGTTTGAGTGTTGAGTGTTTGCACGTCTCTTGTCTTATCAACCACCTGAAGCACTTTAGGCTTAGCTCAGGTAATAAGCTCCTTAAGTAAGCTTAAGATTGTAAAGGTTAGTTAGGTTTTGTTTATGATGAGAGCTTCCTAGGTCAATATTCCTTTTCAAATCAAAATAACCAAAATTTAGTCTAATTAGTCTTAGGGGAGTAAAGAATTAATATAATTTTTGCCTTATGAGTATTTTTATAAGTAAAAGTTCAAGTCATATTTAGAGAAAGAAACTTAAATTTACCATTATCTAATCTTAAGTTTAATATGTAAAAGAGTTTAAATTTTATTTCTTATTAATGTTAAATTTTTGCAATGTGTATGTGATTAAAAATTGAGAGGGAAGAAAAAATAATTATATTAGTTTTTGAGTTCAAGTCAAATACTCTCCAAAAAAATTATCAATTAAAACTAACAAAATATATGAGATAAAGTTTTCAAAGATATGATAAATATATATTAAATGATAATAGAAACTAAATATATTAGTATATCTTTAAAAAATTATATATTTTAGATACTTATTATCAATTAGCATAATACTCAGGCACTGAACAAATATTTTTTTAATTAAAATAATTTTTTAATAAAATATTAATCATATATTATATTATTTTTAAATTAAAAATAAATATTTACTATTAATAATAAATGATTTATTTTATTAAATAGGATTAAATTAAAAATTAAGTTTAAATGAATATTAAATTAAAAATTAAAAGTTGACTGCTAAATTAATTACATGACGTATTCCTTTATCTTATTTAATAAAAATGTCATATGTTTTTATGCCTATTAATACTGAGTATTTATTTTAGTTATTTAGATAATTTATTATCCAACTCGATAATTAAATCTTGAACTTGTTGCCTTTAATTTTCCTTTATTATCAATTATTCATGCCTATGTTTCTCGATTTTTTGAATTATTTTTTTACGGGAATTAAATCATCCTTGAAAAATATCCAAGACTATTGCAGAAAAATACACAGTGGCATTTCTTTATTCCATATTAAATTCAAATTAATTTTTGAATCTTATTGAAGTCACGTTTTTCAAAACTCCAAAATAAATAAAATTTAAAACTACATTAAATTTAACGTTTAACGTGTTTTAAATTCTTCACATAATTTTACTTTCTCAAATTGTTAATTATTTATATTTGTTTCTTGATTTTTTTAATTCTTTTAAAGCTTTGTAAGTTACTTTTTTTAAATAATTGAAAATAAATAAAATTAAAATTACCTCAAATTTTTAAAAATTCTCTTTTATTGAAAGTAATTATATTTTTTGTTAAACATCGAATGTAATAGTATATATATATATATATATATATATACTTTTAATATCTTCGTTTATTTATAATTTTTTATTTTACCTACAATATTTCGGCTCTCCGTATAGTTGTTTTCGTGATATAAAAAATTGACAGGTTTGTAAATAAAAAATAAATAAATTTTAAAGGATGAAAATATAAAAAAATAGAAGTTAAATTCATCAGATAAATAAAAATGTAACAAAATAAATTAAATAAAATAATAAATTTAAAATTTCTAAATGAAATAAAAAATCATTTTAAAAGTTATTTACTTAATAGCTTTTGGATATTATACACAACTGAATCAGTTAAGATCTCTATCCTAATAGATGTGATTTTATCCATCTCTTTTTTTATATATATTCACTGTAACCTAAAAAATATGCTTTAATTAACACACAAAAGGCAAAGTTTCCACGGAGAAGAAGAAGTTTTATTCATGGAAAGCAACTTATCAACAAGCAATAACACACAGGCTTGCGCGGCATGTAGATTTCAACGCAGAAGGTGTGGCTCAAACTGCGTTCTCGCACCTTATTTTCCTCACGATCGTCAAAACCAATTTCTCAACGCACACAGATTATTTGGTGTTGGTAGAATCACCAATATGTTGAAGACTCTTGATCCTCAAAACAGAGATATAGCTGCGAGTACCATTATTTACCAATCTGACATGCGCGCCATAGATCCTGTTGGCGGTTGTTACAGCCTAATTCATCACTTGCAGTCACAGATTGAGTCCACCGAAGCCGAACTTCACCTTGTTCTTCAACATCTTGCTTCTTTCAAGGCTCAGGCTAGCTCTGGTAACATCATCAATGGCACCCCTCAATCTTATCTTGAATCAATGCCACTAGAACTACAACAACAACAACAACAATACGTCAGTTATAATCCTTCACAAGAAGACATCAACACGTGGGCTTTACAGAACTCCATTCCTTTGTCCCATTTGTCTATAGAGGATAACCAAGAACCTGTTGTCGATTCTGGGTACGATGATCAAAAGCCTGTTCTTGACTTCATGAACAAAATAAATTCGGATGTTTGATTTCTGTGCTCTTGGCTATTGCCTTAAGTTAGGAGTGATAGTGCTACCTCCTTCCCCAGCTCCTTCTCCGGAAGACGCTTCAATCTCATTCTATGCTCCATCTTCCTTATTCATGTCTATGTTTCTCCATTTTTTAAATGTCATTCCATTCTTTTAATTTTAAATTTATTTTTAAATTTTTTAATTTTGATATACTATGTTAAATTAGACACATTTTCTTTTTTAATATAACCTAATTTTTTTTTGTGCATTACACGAGTATCATAAAATTATTTTAAAATAAATAATTTAAAAATATGATATGACTATTTTCAAATTAAAAATTTTATAAGTTCAAAAATATGATAAATATTATAATTATTAATGGTAAATATTCTGTTAGGACAAGTAATATTATAAGTAAATTATAAAAAATTCAAATTTAAATTAACATTAAATTATAAAAATAAATACGTACTTTTTAAAAAATTACTTCCCATGAAAAAAACTAATACAAAACACTTCCATTTGAAAAAAATTTTAAAAACACTTTGGTTTAAAAATAATTTTATAAACTTTTTTGTAAAAAAATAATATTCACAAATTATCTATAAAGGTTAACTAAAATTTGAAATCATTATAATCTAAATAAATCTTAATTGAAATTGGATTTTTAAATCTTAACACACTGTATTAATAACAAATAAAATATTTTTTTTTATTTAATCTTTCGATTCAAATTTTGAAACTTCCGTACTCTTTTCTTTTTAATTAAGAACTTTATTTCTTTATATTTGATAAAAAAAAAATTAGTTATCATTGATGATAAAATATTAACCGTTTTAATTTATAAAAAATTCAAATTTAAAAATTGATATAATAAACGTTTGTGATTTTATTTAAAAAATTAATAATAATTGTGAAAATCTAAAAAAATTAAGAAGAAAATAAAAATAAATATTATTTAGTAGTTTAGTTTTTAAAACTGTTTTTCATTGAATTTTCATTAGTTTTGAGAAGAGAAATAGAAAGAAAAAAAAAACACTTTAGAAGTAATTCTGATTTTTAACTTGAAAAATAAAAATAAAAAGTTTATTTTTAAAACTTATATTGACAAAAAAAGTTTTATATTTTTTATTTTTAAATAATAGAAAATATGTTTAAAAAAATAAATCATTGCTAATTAATTAATAGACATAAATCATAAGATCTTTGAAAGAGTTTATAAATAAATTTAAAAAATTAATTTTTATAAGATCACTAGTACAAAATACACTTTCTATAACAGGATTTTATATCAATTTTTGTGAAACAATGTAGAAAGAGACGCAATGACATTTTTGAAATTTACGTGAGTTTTTTTACGTTGGTTGTTAAAAAAATTTATGTAAAAATTACTTTTAGAAAAAACACGGTGACATTTTTTAAATTTATACAAACTTTTCTACATCAGTTATAAAAACAACCGATGTAAAAAGTATTGCAATTCTATAAAGTTTCATGTTTATAGCTGTAGACTTTGAATGGGCATAACTTTTAGCACAGGACTAGGATTTGTGCAAATAAGATTAAGAAAGCATGAAAACCTATAAAAGATAACATGTATAAAGGCCTATGAGATGATAGGTGAGAGACTTGAGGTGTGGCAAACGCATAAGCCATTAAGATGTAATAAGCACAAGGTGCTATGGAATGAAGTAGGCACAAAGACCTTTCAACGGTTAAAAAAGGAGTTATAAGATGGAACTAATATGACGATCTTTAAACCAGGAGTCAACGGTGTCCTCGATAGAAAGTGGGCAAAAGGACTTGAACGACATGAACAAAGGCTTATGAGATACGACTAGTAGGACGATATTTGAATCTAGAGTCATCAGTGTCCTCGATAGGAATTAAGTACAAGGACTTGAATGACATAAAATCTTATGATATGCAACAAGTGTGTTTATGAAATGAAATTGATATGAATGTTTATCATATGCAACAAGCACAATGATGTATAAAGCTAGAACAATGGGTGGCTGAGAGATCAAGATCATCCAAGTACTATGAAAAGCAATCCTAGTCCTAGTTGAATTAATTGATGCATGATGATGTCAATGGTGCAAGAGTCAAGATGATGCAAAATAAATATTAACAAATTATTTTTATTTTGAAATAATTTGAAACCTATCATCTTTACAAGGTCATGCACCTTATTAATCAAATATGACCAATCAAGATGATGTGAAAAAAGGATGCGAAAAAAAAAATTTATATTCAAATAGTTTTAAGCTTATCATCCTTACAAACTCATGCACCTTATGAATTAAATATGAACAAGAACTCGTGGTTTCTTTGGTTGACTTGTGATTAAACACTTGGCTAGTATTCCCTCAAATTAGCTTCTGCTAACATTTTGTGAGCTGAAATGATGATATCTTTGTTTTGCTATGTTGTATTTATCGAGAACTCAATGATCTTACGATGACTCTTAAGACAAATCAAAATAATTGCATTGTTCTCCTTTTTTTTTTGTGAACATATGTTTCCTTTCAATATATGTCTATCAAAATGCAAAATGAATTAATGGTCAAACAAATAAAATCAATAATTTATTTAAGAGAGAGATGAAACACATTGCAAAAAGGACTAATGTATGGTGAACGAGAATGAAATGTATATAGTTTGGAATGGATGAAATCAAAATGTAACATGGATGATTACAAAAATACTAAAGTAATGTTTTCTTTTTTTCAACAATGCTAGTAGCACATGTCAATAATCTTGACCACTCATTAACATGCTTCATAGAGAGTAAATTGACCAAGTTTGAAATCTTAGATACATCAGTTATCCCAGTTTAAAGTATTGTACATGTTGATTATCTTAGTAATCTTAGGCATATTGATTGTCTTTCTTTTGCCCAGCTTGCATTCATGCCAACTTAAATTCATCAATTGCCCCAATTTGAAACCTTGAAACATCATTTACTCTAATTTAGGATGTAAAACTTATCGATAACCCCTGTTTGAATTATTGTCATGTCATTAGCCTTGGTTTAAGAAATTCAACACATAAATTGCCCCAACTTAAGCTCCCTTCTTACTTTTCATAAACATTTATGATTATTTTTGGCAAAAAAAAAAAAAATTCATTCCGTGAAACATTTTGCCCCAGTTTACAATCTTGCCACTTCATTTTTCCCAACTTAAATTTATCAATTACCCTAGCTTGAAAGCTTGGTGATAAGTCTATAATTAGACTCTCTTTTACGATCCATACACTTATATTTGACCTTTATTTTAATTGAGTTTTTCACTAATTTATATATTAGTTATACAGCTTAGTATAAAGAAGTCACAAATGGATTTTAAGTGTGTTTTGGGCCAAACTAATGGAAAATCAGAGCTTCATAACAGTCAACACACCCAAACCCTTTCAGCAAGCATGGGGATGCTTCAAGCCAATGCACATACTAAAGGCCTTGCACAACCGTGTTCGTATGCGGAAAGCTTAATTATGAAGAGCGTTTAGAGTTTTTAAATCCTTTAAAAGAGAGACATCAGGCATCTTGTTGGAAAGACCATTTACATCTTATCTTTTGTTTTTTGATACACCTTTCATCTTGTCTCTCTTGCACAGAATCGTTGGCATACTCTTAGTGAAATTTAGCTTCGAGCGACTGTACTTGAAGACTAGGAAATCATCTCTTTCTAGTTTGCTTTTCTTTATGGCTTTGTTTACGATTGCTTTAGTTCTTTTCTTTAGCATGAGTAATTAAGTCTATAGCTAGGGTTATGAGAACTATTGTTCATGAATTTATGGAATTTTGAAGTTTGAATCTACATTTGATTTCCATTCGTGTTAGTTTTTATCCTATTACGCATAATTATAATCTTAATTAATTATATTGTCAAGTGACTATACCTTAATTAGTTAATGGATTTATAGGATAAAATGAGATAAAGGATTATGTGGACTAAATCAATCTCTCTTTCAATCGTTATTAAATTAACATGTTCATAAGTGCTTTATGCTTTCTTTAATTGATGTTTTGCATGATCATTGAGAATATTAATTTAGAGAAAAGAATATTAGTATCGCATAATCATTGGGTATTAATAATATTTGTATGAATGATTTGTGATCATAAGAAAAGTAAATTTAGAGTTAAAAAAATAACAAAGAATTGAATGAGAAAACTCATATGCCTTAGGTTTTTCTCCTATAAGTTCAACCAAGATGTATATTGTGTCATTTGCTTTTATTCATAATTGATTTTATAATTAAATTTCGGTTCTTATTTAATTTCACATCTTTTAGTCTCAAACAATTGAATTAAGAAATTCTTAGTAATTGAAAATTAATCTTTATAGGACGATATTTCAAAAACTTATTTTAAAATCTTCTATTACTTCTCGATAGATACACTTACTCTCTGAACACTTGGAACACCCTTTACTCTAATTTAGGGTCTATATCAATTGCCCCTATCTGAATCTATGTCATGCCATTTGCCTGAATTGAAGAATTTTCACTCACCAATTGACCAAACTTGAGATCTTATTATGCTTTTCACCAATTTTTATGATTCCTTTTGACAATTTTTTTGTTGTATATTTTTCATTTTGTTAAACTTTTCTCTTCTTTCTTTTCCTTTTTTTTTATTTTTCAAATGTAGCAATTAAATCTTTTTTTTTCTTTAACTTTTGCCTAGGTTGTTCTTTTGAGTTTTTAACTTAGCAGACACTTTTTTTTTTCTTTCTCCTTTTTTTTTTTCAAATTTGGTAGTCATTTTTTTCCTAACTTTTGCCTAAGTTGCTTTTTTGAGTTTTTAACCCAGTAGAAACATTTTTCTTTTTCTTTCTCCTTTTTCATTTTTTCAAATCTGGTAATCATTTTTTCCTAACTTTTGCCTTCATTAGTCTTTTTAAAAAGGGTCTCCATCATCCATATATGTGAGAAGTAAAATCTTGTTAAGAAGTCCTTGTGGTAATATATTCAACTCTTGTTGTCCAAATGAGGTCTAACTCATAAGTATAAACACATTCTTTATTTTCAAATCTTATTTCCATTTGTACCACTGTTATCTAAAATTTCAATGTTTTTTTCTTTTTTTTATTTCTTTTACTGTTTTTTTTTTATCATATCCAAAAGTATGTATATAATTTGTAAAAGTCAAAGTTTTGTATCGAAAGATATAGCCTTTTAAACATTTTAAAATTACAGAATTATTACATTGGTTCAATAAACAACTGATGTAGAGTCAATTAAAATATAAAATTTTTATATACGTGCTAGCAAAATAATCAAAATTTTGGCCATCTTTTCTTTTAGTTAGATAGACAACGAACATGCAATAATTTTTTAGGTACATCAATAGTTTTAGTTTCTTTCATTTTTTGTTATTTCACTTTCTGTTATTTCTTATTCATTAAATAATTTAATGAACATTGCATATTTTTTATGTTTCATATTCAAACAAAGATAAACAATAATGAACATGATGAACATTGATGTTATAAATTTTAATTCAACTTAAAGACTATTTTAAATCCTAAGAAAATATATTAATAATATTTATATGAACGACTTTTTACATTAGATGTGGAACCAATGTAAAAAGTCTATTTTAAAGGATGTGAAAAGTCTTTTTTTCACTAGTGGATCTTTCAAATATATTTTAACAACTTTCTTCATATAATTAAAGATGAAAATATCTTTCTTAAACTTACTTCAATAAGTATTATGATCAAATTAAAGACATAAACACTAAAATATTAAACAAGCATTTATTTAAATTATATATCCAATCGTAATTAAAATTAAATAATATTAAAATATAATTAATTGAAACAAAGTCAATCTAGAATCAAATAGATACATATAACTCACTTTACATTAGTTATAAAACTATCTACCCTAATGTATTTGGCAACGGCACAATGGACAGCGGTAAGATGATAATTGACTGCGCATGCAACTTTGGAGCCATTGAACAACACACTCTTTATGGAAAACATGAACACATTCGGTAGAAACAAGTTCTGATTTTGATCGACTGCAAAACTTCTCCAAACAAATTGCACATTGTTCCGAAGAATAAGAATGAAGATCGGTTACACTTACTTTCTTCAACGAATCCACAATTTTATGGGATGCCAATAACGCACGTCGATCCTTAACAATGTGAATATTACTTTCACAAGGTCGTGTTGTAACACGAAGTTCCACCTCTATTTCCCACATTTTGCTTCCTTGATTTGCCGCGACCATGTTCCTAGCGCATGCACCAATTTGGGGTAGAATTTCATTCAATATGTGATGGGGAATAAGCATGGAGGAGAATGTGTTTTGCAGAAGACGTGTGTTGTTCCCATCTAAGATCGTGTCTTCGTTACAATCGCATAAAACTTCACGAGGAATCATCATTATGCAATAGTTTCTGTCTATAGAATCGGTAGAGCGAAAGGGACGGATTACGTGATTGATATAATAAAAACTAATGCGAAAGACATCGCTACATGAACTTTGCACGGATAGGGTTGTTCGATTGTGAGGGTTCAAAGAGAGTTGATAAGTGGACTCCATGGATGAATGATGATGATTGAGTAAGTGTTTCTAACCTGCTTTTATAGAGAGAAAGTTCATGTTATTTATAGAGATTTTTCTCAACATATAGAGGCATAATCTTTAGGGAGACAAACTTGACTTCACCCTTTTTAATTGAGTCAAACACTCTCCGAAAAAATTTGTTAATCAAAACTAACAAAACAAGATTAAAATTTCAAAGTTACGATAAAGATTTGGATAATCAAATTTAAATCATAATGTCAACTAACTATATTAGCATATCATTTACAAAAATGTTTTAGATGATTAATTTCAACTAGTTACTAATGCACTGAACAGGTATTTTTAAATTAAAATAAAAATTTAATCATATATTATATTACTATTTTAAATTTAATACATTTTATAAATTAAAAAAATATTTTACTACATTAATTGATATTAAATTTAATAAATTTATATTTGAAATTATAGAAATTAGTTATAGTTTAATTTATATTAAATTATTAATCAAATATTAACTATAGAAAAATTCAAATGATATAATAAAAACTAGAATAAATAATTAAAACAGGATCATTTAAGATAATAGAGTTATGATCTATGTAATATGCTTGAATAATATGTAATATAATTTTAAAATATAAATAAATATTAAATTCTGAATAATATATTAACAAATTTTAAAATTATGTGAAACTTGATTTTATATGATCAACATAATATGATTCAATAGTTTAATTAATCAATATTTTATTTTATAAAAAATTATTAAGTAAAATAAGTATTCAAATTTGATACTAATATAAACGGATCTTATCTCAAGATTGTATATATATTTAAGACTCTCCGTTAATGAATTTTTATACGTTACAAAAATATTAATAAATTCAAATTATTTTTTAAAATAAATTAAAGTAAATGCACCACCTTTTTTAAATTAACAACTTTATAAATAAACATTAGTAAATAGTAATATTATTAATCATTTTAAATATTAAATAATACTAAATTAAAAATAAAATTTAAGAATGAAATTATGAAAAATTTAAAATTCAAAATAGAAATTAATATTAAATTTAAAAAAATAAATACTGAACGAAAGAAAAGTCACGTAGAATAACTAAAAACATAATAACTTGTTCAAGTTTTTATGGAAGCAAAAAATCTCTTCGTGATAGACTCATCAACTACATCAACATAATAACTCATTTGAGTTTTTGTGTAAACAAAAAAAAAAATTTATGATAAACTCACTCACTTCATACAAGTGCATGATATGAATCGAATCTGAATTAAATCAAATGAAAAATAAAAAAAATAATTTATTAAATTATTTACAATAAAAATAACTTTAATTTAGTTAGAAATATGATTTTCTTTTTTATGTTCTAAATTTAGCAACATCTCGCTATATTCATATTATAGGGTTAAATTATAATATTTTACTTTCAAATTTTAAATTAAGGGATCACGTATATTTTTAAAGTGTCTTACTAATTAATGACATCCCAAGGACATTATTTAAGAAATCAATGAACTTTGAAAGCTTAATAAAAATTTTGTTTTAACACAAAAATTATAACTTACAGGATTGAAAAAATATATGCGTGTACGTGTGGCTTCTTAAGAGTAAATCATCATTTATTTATTTTTACGAACTATTGCTGTGAGAATTGATCAGGCCCATATCATAGAAGCCCATATAATAGAAGCCCAGGCCTGAAGAAATCGCAGGAAAGCTCCAGAGAAACGAAACAGAAAAGGAATCTTGTGTAAGCTTCAAACATCAGCTAAACAGAGTCTAACTCTAATAAAAAGACCAGAAAGGCATAGGAGAAGATTAACAGAGGCTTAAGCCATGTTCTTCTTCTTTGTTGGAGGATTAGAGCAACAAGTGCGACAGGTGCTGAAATCCGGTGCGGGCAGGTGCATCATCTGCGGCTCACGCGCCGATCTCGTCGACTACGACAAGGTTCTCAAACTCTTCTTCGTTCCCGTGTGGCGCTGGCCTGGTAAAGACCCTCTCTTATACTGTCCCAATTGCAAGTTCTTCTTTCCTCACTCTTATTCCCTTCCACCCACCGCCACCAACGGATCTCCGCCGCCACCGGCGCTTCCCGATGCCTTGCGCTGCCGCTTCTGCGACCGCGCGGTGGAGGCCGATTTCCGATTCTGCCCCTTTTGCGGCTCCGAATTGTAAAGAACAGAATGTGAAGGGTTTTGAGAATCTATATGTATAACAAAAACAGAAAGTTAGGTTTTGTGGGATTAATAATGTTAAAGGTAATTTGTTTCGCTATGTACAACTGAAATTAGATTATAATTTCAGAGCCTATATATGAATGAAATATGTGAATTTCGTGTCACATTTTCGTTCTTTCACTTAGAATTAAATTACTATAGTCTAATTAACATTATACCTGTTATTATGGTTCACTCAGCATAAAAGGCTAAAAGTAATTAGAATAGAGAGTATTGATCTATTGCTATTCATTGAGTTACATATCAAGAAGTGATTTACAAAACAACATTCACATTATTTTGGCTACAGTACATATAAGAAGCATGAAGACGATCTAGTAGTTAAGAATGAAACTTATGCACTAAAGTTAGATTAAACGTCCTGATCAGAGTTCTTAATTACATTAAAGTTAAAAATACAAACATTTAAACAAAAAAATTAAAAGCACAGTAAGGTATCATTAGGGTGTCCTCAAAGTTCCAACACCAGTCATTATGAAAACTACTCCCCATATCAAATCTGCCTGAGACTCCATTTGTAAAAGTACCACAATCAATTTGAACCTGAAAAATATTTATGTAATTTAATATGCTTTGTAATTCGGGTTATAATGACTTTTAACTATTAGTTTTACTTTAATAATTATGTTTTATTCAGTAAATAGAAAAATAATACTTGCTAAATTAATGTTGAGTCATGATAAATCTTAAATCAAATACTTTAGAGCCTATTTTGATAGACAATTGAAATTTTATGATTGCTAATGCAAATATTTCATCAAAGCACAAAAAAAAAAAAAAATTAAACAAAAGTTTCTCTAACCCTGGTACAAACAAATTCTTAACGTATTCAGTGATGCTGATTTTACATCATTAACATAATTCTAAGTCATATATACTTATTTGATTTTAAATTGATTCAATTAATTTTAAATAATTATGTATAATTAAGTCATATTATTAAAATATATGTTTCTCTATTTTTAAAAAAATGATAATTGACTCTTTTTTTTAATCAGGTTTAATTTATTTGAAAATTTGTAATTTTTTCATTTGATCATTTCTTCTTATTTTGAAATTTAATTCCTCAAAATTTGTTTTTGACTTGTCACACAGAAGTGCTGCGGGATAGTAACATAATATTATTCATTTATACCTTAATTACTTTGTATCTAGTTTAGTTAATTCTTGCAAAATTCTCTCAATCTCACCTTTCTTCAACAGAATAAAAGATAACAAGGAAATCCAATTCCTCATTTGAAATAGGGGAGACAAAATAATTAGTCAAGTTTGTTATAGTAGGGATCCAAATGTTTGTCCAAAATCTTGTGGATAAGCTATTTTCAATACCCTAACTCAGGCCTTTGAAAAACAGAGGCCAAAAAGAATTAAAAGACTCTTTCAAAGATGAGCATCTTTTTGGGTATTTTTAGCACTTAAATCCTGCCCAACACTGAACCTATACTTCATTCTAAGATCCTAAACCCAGAGATTATTAGGAAAGGTGATTAATTTCCAACATAATTTCATGAGATAAGCTTTATTTAATTAATGGATATCCTTAAAACTTGACTCACTCTCATCCTTAATCTTATAGATTTTCTACTACTTTGGGGTGACATTTTCTACCTCATAATGAGTCTTAAATAAATTTTTTCATGAGTTGTTAATCTCATTACAATTAATTTTATATTTATATTTTCCTAAATATTAATATTTATATTATTTAAAATAATAAATAAATTTACTTTAAATTTAAATTATATGAAAACATTTTATTTTGAAAAAACTAATATAAATTATTATAAATTTCATAAAATGTTACAATTTATTTAATATTTATAAAATATAATTAAAAATTTTGAAAATATCTATTTAATGTCTAACATGAATAATATTTAACATAATACAATACTAAAACGACTATTATTTAAAAATATCGTACATTTTCAACCATTATAAGGAACAATGTTATTTTATATGAATGATTTTGATATAAAAATTATAAATTTAGTAATCAATAATCAATCAGAAAAATAGTTTATTTTAATATTATTCAAATTAAAATACGGGAATCAACGATATTCAAACAAAACAATCAATGTTAATTTGAATTTGTACTAAACGGCATTTCTCAATCGTTAGTGGCAAAATTATAATTTTCAAAAATCAAGATTCATACAGTTGTGAAAAAGAAATGAGTAAGAATCTATTGAATTAGTCTGATAATTAAAATTTATTTACACTTAATAAATTACAAAAAGGTCCCACCGGGAGTCGAACCCAGGTCGCTGGATTCAAAGTCCAGAGTGCTAACCACTACACCATGGAACCTGTTTGATCATAATCAGCAAAGTTAATTTCGTGATACTAATTTGGATTATATGTAGTAAAATTGAGAAATATTATATAACTTATTTTTGGAGGAAAATTTGAATTATAATTCACTTATAAAGTTGTCTTAAACGAAATTCATCTATAAAAAATGCACAAAAGATAAAAACTTACCTAAACAAAAGAACCACGAAAGTCGAAATGACAAAGGGAAAAGTTATAAAATAAAATAAAAATTGAATAAAATATAAAACTTAAATCGTAAAATAGATATTTTTTTATTTTGGAATTTTTAAGTGAGTTATATATCTAATTTTATCATATGCAATACCATCATTAATATTTCCTAGAGTATATCATATATATTTTTTTATATTTTATGATAGATCATTAAAATAAAATTTTATCTTAATTGTGTGATACTTTCTAATTATAAATCATGATAAAATAAGTATAAATAAAAATTTAATTATTAACGGATTGTTTCAAAAGAGAAATTATGTGTAAGACTTAATTTGACAATATGAGTGTAATTTTGGATTGAATTTTATAAACTATAGCAAAATTATATCTTAAAAAGTGACAATTGTAGCATTTATTGCGGTTGGTATATTCAATATTTGATATAATTCAATGCTTAAAATGTCAGAATCAAATTTAGTTAAAAATTCAATACAATATTATGCTAACAATAAATGAATGTCAATATGTATTTATGATAATATATTTAAAAGGTTTTATTGATGTTAATTATATGGATCTTTAAATTACATAAGAATATATATTTCATAGTAGAGAAATTATTATATGAATTTTTTTATGATTATTTTATATTTTTTAAAAAATTCTTGATTCAATATTTTTTTATAATTTATATTTTAAATTTACTTATCAAATTTTTATTTACAGAAGTACAGAACCAGGTGTGTTAGATTATAAATTTTCAATTGATTAAAGGTCAATTATTAATTTTTGAATATATATTGATAATGGGTCACTGTAAAGTTTAATTTTTTAATTATTGATTCTATTGGTTTCATATTTAATAAAGTATAATCTCTATTTAATAATTTTTTAATGAAATTTAATAAAATTAAAAAATTAGAAAAATTGTGGTAATATTTAATTTAATGAGACTAAAAAAAATATTCTATTACAACTTTTATCGTGGAAGTTAAAGATTATGCTTGCCTATTATAGATTTACTATGAAATATTTTTTTTAAAAAAATTATTGGATAATTTTAAAGACTAGAAGTATTAAAATAATGTTAATAAAAAATAATAAACATAATAGAAGAAAAAGATAAAATATGGAAAAAATAGAAAATTTTAAAATATAAAATTAACTTATATATTCTAAACGAGAGTTTATTATTTGAAAAATAAAACATTAGTAGAATTATTATCTTTTAAAGTTTGTCACGTTAATATTTTAAAATTTAAAATTAACCAATAATAACATATGAATTATATTCTATTATACCATAATAATTTTACTTTTTACTCATATTTACGTTAATTTAATTTTAAATATTAAAGTTATTGTTTAAATTTATTTATTTATTTATTTTGTAATTGAATGAGACTAAGTATTCCGCCTACATTAAGCAGTTCCTAAAGAATCTAACTTCAAAAAAGAAATCAAAGAAGTAGAATTTTCCTAAAAAATACAGTAAAACAGCCCAAGTTTGGATCTTATCTTATTCCAACCAATTAGCATTTTGATTGGCCTTCATAAGAACATGATTAAATCTGACAAATTTTATACATTTAAGTAACTTTCTAATTTCATTGATAGTATAGAAAAAAAATGGCTATTAATCTATACATTAAGAACTAAAGAAATAACTTCCTTTAAGTCACTTTCAATCTAAATAAGTTGGATATTTTAAAAAAAAAACTAGTTGTATCTCCTAATAAATACACTATAGTTCAACAGCTAAAGAGAGTAAAGATCCAAATATTTGAAGAAATCAGCTATGAATCTTCCAAGATTATCATGAATTAATCCTCCATAGTTAGCTAGACCCAAGGATTAAAATACAACATCATCTATATTGATTTTTAATTGCCTAACTAGAGAAGGTTATCATTGTACCTACCTTTGCACGCCCCCAAGTATTAGGAGCATTTCTCATATTCCTCTTGCAACAAAAAAAAAAAGTGGAGCATTTCTCATATTCTTCTTGCAACAAAAAAAAAAAAGTAATCAATATTGTAGAATATTTTACTTAACAAAATTTGATTATTTAAAGGATTATTCTAAAAGTAGAAGAATTGTTATTCTTTTACAAATTTCATATTCCAACTAACTGTACCAAATAAAATGTTTCAAAGGAAATACAGGAGAAAGTTCAACTTATTAAAATTGAAAATCAACCATTTAAACAATCTCAACATTGAAAACCAGCTAATTGAAAAATGAAAGGTTAAAAAATATCCAACTGTCCATCAAGATGTGTAACAAATTTTCTATAATTTTTAATATTTTTTATAAATATCTATTTTTATATTTTTAAAAATTATTTTTATTTTTTAAAAATATATATTTTACTTTAAAAGTTTTATTTCTTATATTTAAATTTTTAATATATATGTATATATATATATATATATATTATTGTTGACATTTAATTAAATTTTTTTACATTATACGATAAAATATTATTTAATTTTATTATTTTAATACAAACTATTTATAATTATAAAGTTAGGTTAAAATAATTTTTAGAAAATTATTTAAGATAATTTTATCATATATAATTAGTTATAATATATAAAATTTTATTTTGTAATTATTAATTATATGTATATTTATTCTAAAATAAAATAATCAATGCATTGAACTTTTTTAAGTAAATACAAATTTTAAATTGAATCTTATGCATATGTCTTAAATTAAAATTTTTACAGAAATATTCTATTTTGAATTATATAAAAGTCAATTATAATAGACTTTCCTTTAATATTTAAAATATTCTTACACATAACTTTATTATAATCAAATTTCTTTCAATTTTTAAAAAAATTACATAAAAATTAATTATAATAGATTTCAGTATATTTTGATGCATTTTAAAAATGACTTATAATTAATTTTTATTATGTATATGTTATATACTTTGAACATTTAATTTTATTTATTTAAATTGATTACAAGTATTGAAAAATTAAACACAATAAAAAAAAACTATTTAATTTTTATTTTAATTGTAAATGTTGCCTTTGTAATTTTTAATTTTTCAAAAATTTTATTTTATTATTTAATTTAAAAATATATTTATTTATTATAATTTGATTTTATTTTATATAAAAATAAAATAAATAATTTTTAAATTAATTATCAAAATAATTTTTTTATAAAATTAAAAATCAACAAATTAATTTAAGTGACTACAATGAATATTTATTAAAAAATATTAATTTTTATTAAAAATTGAAAAAATATAAAAAATAAATTTATTTATTTCCATTTCTCTTACTCCTATTCTACCAAACAAATTACAAATAAATAAAGAGCTTTACTAATTAAAACTTGAGAATATTAATTAAGAAAATAATGATAAAAATATATTAAACTCTTTATATTTATTTTAATTTTATAATACTTTTTATTTATTTTATTTTATAATAAAATTTATTATCATTAACTTCTATATTAGAGTTTTTTAAAAATTGAAAAAAAATTAATTTTAATTAATTTTGATATAAGAATATTTTAAAAATTAAAGAAAAATTGATTATAATCAACTTCATACAAATGAATTTTAAAATTTGAAGAATAATTGACTTATGCTTTGTGTATAATAGTCATAGTAAAGTTTATTATAATAAACTTTCATAAAATTTAAAATAAGATATTTTCGTGAAACTTTTTAATTTAGAACATATACATAATATTCAATTTTATAGATTTTATTTACATTAAAAAGCCCAATATATTGCACATGCTACTAAATTAGTTAAATTTTAATTATAATACATTAATAATGTAAAAAATAATTTATTCTATCATTTAACAATTTTGAAAATAATAATATTAAATTTTGAAATAAATATTTTAAAAATCATCAATTACATAAGTCATTGAAAGTTATATTAACAATAAATCAAAATTAATCTCATAAAATTAACAATAATACATATATATATATATATATATATATATACACAATACTTTTAAGAAAATAAATAAATAGAATTAATGTTATAAAGATATTTAAACACAACATAAAACTTATCTTTAAAAAAATAGAATGAAAAAAAGAAAATATGAAATTTTAAGATAGATTATATAAATTGATAAAAATAATGTACACATAAAAAAAATATTAATGAATTTATTGAAAAAAAAAATACATTCTAAAGATATTTTTATTTTCTAAGATTGAAAAGAGCTTAAAGCTTTGTCTGAAAGTTAGTTTTTAGAGACAAAAAAAATAAGAGAGAGAGTTTATAAATCCTTCCAAACTCTCCTATCCATATTTTTAAATTCCCTCAATACAAGAATTTTTGTATTAATCCAATTTTTTTTTTCCTTCTTCTTTCTTACCTTTCAGATTATTTCTTTCTCTCTACTTTCAAACTCTCAAACCAAGCTTAAAGAGTATACCGAGGACAAAATTTTAGAAAAGAGGAGAGATGATGATATATTAAAAATATATATAATTTATTATGATAAATACATTAAAATTATATCAATATATCAATTTATGCCTTTTATTATAAAAAATATTATTTTTAAATATATTTCTTTAAAATACAAATTTTGTCTTCCTCTTTCCTCCTTTCTTAAACAAAACTTTAAACTTTATTTGGGAGATAATTTTTTAGTAGAAAAAAGAGAGAAGTAGAAGGGTCATGCAAATTTATATAAGTGAGGAAGGGTTTATAAACCCTTGTAATTATATGTTTTTTTAGTTCTCTCAATTTGTAGAAGTTTTGTATTAATTTTTTCTTTTCTTCCATTCTCCTTCCTTATCTTTCAAACATTTTCTTTTTCTTTCTCTCTAAACTTCCAAAAAATTCTTAAAAGACTAGAAACAAACTAAACAAAGCCATTTCTTTGTTCCAAATAGCCTCCAAAAGCAAAGCCAAAATTCATACTGCAATTATATCCAATTTGTCAGGGTTTTCTAACAAAAATATTATTATGAAATCATTCTAACAAGTTGTTAATAAAAAATCACTTATTTTTTTGTCATTAGTATTTTAAACAAGACTAGGACTACATCTACCGATCTGAATTGGTTTCGAAAACTTATTATCCCCTGCCATCTAGGTCAAATGAAATAGCATTTCCATGCATAACATAAAAATGTATAGGAAAAAAAAATTGGAATCCTCTTACCATAGTATGGGTGTTAAGAATAGATATGCATTGCCATGTCAAATTCATAGCATTTGAGATTAATCATTATAAATTTTAAGATGAAAATCTTATTTTTATATATATAATAAATTGACATATAATTAAAGACATTTTGTGTGCTTGAAAAGCAAAAAAAATAAAAATAAAAAAATGCTTAAATATAAACTACTCAACCGTGTATCATTAATGTTACCTCAAACTAGGGTAAAGGTCCCACCGGGAGTCGAACCCAGGTCGCTGGATTCAAAGTCCAGAGTGCTAACCACTACACCATGGAACCAATGTCGAGAGCATAGACTATAAAATTCTAATGGAAAATGAAAAGCAGAATTATTTTGGAGGGTGGATGAAGTGATGAAAACTTCATCCATAAATTAAAAATAAATAAATAAATAATTGTAAGATCTGTTTATTTGTAGACTTTATCTGTATATTTAACACTATTCATAGCTTTATTCTTTAAAAAATGGCAAACTTTATACTTTCGTCCCAACATTCTCCAATCAATTTTGTGAAAAAGAACAGTATTAACTTCTTTTCTATTGAATTTTGGTTTCTATATTTTAATCTACTCCTAATTTTAGTTTCTTTTAATTTAATAACTTAACTTCAGTTTTTCTATATTTTTAATTGTTTAAATTAAGTACTTTATCCTAAAATATCATGTAATAATTAATAAAAGTATATTAAAAGTGTAATATCTATATATGTTTAATATGTAAATATAATATAATAAAGTATTTATTTTTATTAATTATTGAATAAAATTTTGAGAATTTTTTTTTAAAATTATAAAAACTTAATGTGAACTAAAAATATTAAAATTCGAATTATGCCTATTTATGTGTTTACTTATAGGACGATATGTTGGAACTCAAACAGGAGTGGTGGCGCAGTTGGCTAGCGCGTAGGTCTCGTAGCTTCTGAGTCATGTCGAGAGTTCGAGCCTCTTTCCCCCCGAAATGTGTTAATATATATAAAAGAAAGGAGAAAACACTGCAAATTTTCTTCTCGTTCTTTTTTAATCAAATTTGTATTTTAGTTTTTTTATAATTTATTTTAAAATTTGAAAAATTAAGTCACTTTAATTAAATCTTATTTAACATAATAACATATTTATTATTAATAGTTAAAATATTTATTTGTTTTAAATATATAACATTTAATAATGTTTATAAAATAAAATTTTAAAAATTTATTTAAATTTAGTAATAACCATACAATATACGAGAAACATTCCAGTTTTCATGTTACAGCGTATTTGGTCAGGTAGAAAGGTCAAAAGGAAAAGAAAATAGTAAGGCTATGCAGTTAAAATGTCACATTTCATATCCAACACCCATGAGATCATGTGGGACAGTTCCGAGCAGATTGCGAAGTAATGGCATTGTTATTACTTAACATTAACCTTTCAATTGAGTTTTAGATTTTAGGATTGGCAGGGTAGTGGCGAAGAATCTAATACTTTTTGCAACTTGTGAGTCATATTAGAGACACCAAAACACAACGAGAGGCATTCAAAATTTGATCTTTGATTCAAATGTCAGAAGACATAAACCCTGCACAAGAGCTAAAAAATGATTTAACTGATGCCGATTGAGTGATATCAAATCCTTCCCCTTGAATGACACAAGACCAGTCTGTTCTACAACTTGAGAAAAGAATGAATTTTGCTAATGGTTAAATCACTATATCCTAGCTAAATTTCTAGCCGGATTCCACTCTTGGTTCTAGAGAAAAATTTTGCAAAGCCATTTCGACTCCTCTCGGAACTGACATGATTTGGCAAGGCTGTCGAGGAAGTGGATGAAGATGATGAAGGTGGTGAGGTTTCTTCATTTTTGTTTAAGTTAGCATCAGGCAACCTTGAAGAAGTGGAATCTCTTTTGGGTGAAAATGTGCCATTTGAATGCAATTTCCACATCTCTCCCCCAGCTTGAGCAATGAGTGATGGACTTGCAGGAATGCTAGGAGTGTCAATAAGGAAATCTTCCAGTGTAGCCAGAGATTTTAACTGGTTTCCCAAAGATGCTATTGTTTTCTGGCACTCAGCAAGCTTTCCAGCTGCGAGTTCTAGGTCCTCCTGGCACACAAAAGATCATATGCATTACATGAGTTGTTTAGGAAGTATATAACTAATTCCTTGCTATTTTGTAAGTCAGATAAATGATAAAATCTTTAATGTAGATGTCAATGATGACCAACCTGCTTGATCTTCTTTTCTCCATATGAACAAGCTGTTGACCTGAGTAATTCTTCCTCCAATTCCCTACACTTCATTGCAATTTCTTCTGAAGTGGCCCTCTCTTTGTGAACCTCTTCTTCTAACAGGTCAATCTTTGCAGATTTAATTTCTAGATTTTCCTCCAGGTCCTTGCACTTCATTGCAATTTCTTCTGAAGTAGCTCTCTCCTTATGAACCTCTTCTTCTAACAGGTCAATCTTTGCAGATTTAATTTCTAGCTTTTCCTCCAGGTCCTTGCACTTCATTGCAATTTCTTCTGAAGTAGCTGTCTTCTTATGAACCTCTTCTTCTAACAAGTCAACCTTCGCAGATTTGCTTTCTAGCTTTTCCTCCATGCCCTTACACTTCATTGAAATTTCATCTGACACAGCCCTCTCCTTATCAACCTCAGCTTCTAATAATTCAACCTTTGCAGATTTGCTTTCTAGCTTTTCCTCCAGGTCCTTACACATTTTTGTAATTTTATCTAAGACAGCCCTCTCCTTAGCAACCTCTGCTTCTAACAACTCAACCTTTGTGGATTTGATTTCTAGCTCTTCCTCCAAGTCATTATACTTAATTGCAATTTCATTTGACACATGGCTCTTCTCATCAAGCTCTGCTTCTAATAAGTTAACCTTTGCAGATTTTCTTTCTAACTCTTCCTCCAGGTCATTACACTTGATTGCAATTTCAGTTGACACAGCCCTCTCCTTATCGACCTCAGCTTCTAATAAGTCAACCTTTGCAGATAGTGTTTGAGCCTCAGCCACCATGCTCATTAGGTGATTTTCTACCCTTTGCTTTGATTTGTAGGCATTTTCTAGCTCTCTTTGCAACTCCTCCAGTTTCTCTTCTGATTCCCTCAACTGAAGTTGTGACTCCTCAATACACTCTTCACTTTTCATCAAAGCTATCTCTAGTTCAGCTTTATCCGCTTCTACCCTTTCTAACTTTTCTTTTAACTCATCCATTTGCTGATTCATGATCTCAAACTCAACTCTTAGAGAGCTTTCTCTCTCAATGCATTGATTGGCAACGACTGACTCCTGAACAAAGCTTTTGTTTTTAGTCTCGGGCAATGCAACAAGTCGTTCCATTTCAAGAAAATCATCCATCAGATCAATTTTAACAGAACTGGATGGAGTTTGTCTGCACTTTTCATTCTTGAACTGATCAAGTTCAGCAATTAGTGCAGATGCCCATGAGTCAGAACAACTTGGCTCACACTTGTTGGGTTCTGAGCCATTCATCTTCTGGGTATCAATCTCCGTGGCATTAAGCCGCTCTCCACTGTCTGATTGACTATCTGTTAGAGATTCGACACTAAATGAGGATGGAGCAATGGATTTGTGATCATTAACTACTGAAGCTCTAGAAGCCATGGTTTTCAGTCTCCGACACTCAGCTTCAAGTTTGGCTACTTTCTTGATGCTTTCTAAATGTTGCTTGCTGGCCGTCTCAGCAGCTTGTGTGCTTAAATCCCTCTCAATTGTTCTGATTTCCAGCTCTTCTGATTGCACTAAGATCTCATGCCTGAGAGCCATGTTCTCTTTCTCCAAGCATTCAACCTTTTGATACAAATCAAAGTCAACAGAAGATCTGGCTTCTGAAGCATCTAATTTGTTCTGGAGCTCGATGAGCTTGCTCTCAAGTTTCATTTTGGCTGATTCCAATTCTTGAGTCTTTTTTGCAACAGCATCATAGATATTCTCTTCCTGCTCTTCTCTTGTCTGTCTTAGCTGCCTAACACACTCCTTAAGTGCTCCATCTAGATGGGTGACTCGATCTTCCAGAGCTGAATTCCTGAGAATGACTGCGTCAAGTTGCTTCTTTAAAACTGCCACTTCATTTTCAGCCTTTTCCCAGCCTAAGTTAATGAAAATGCCCAATTAAGAGACGGTCTAAAGAGGGAGTCAGAGAAAGAGAAGGAACATAAATATACCAAGAAACCAATGAAGGAGATAACTATTATGCCAGAGTCAGCATGTAAGTGTTCTGATAGATCTCATATAAGCCTCATTGATCGAATATACCTGAGACTCTTAAGAGAATTCATATGCAATTTGACTTTTAATTTCTATAAACCCTACCTAACTTCTAACCCTCTTCTATGAGGAGGAACTTACTGGATGGTCAAAAATCAGTATCAGCTGATGCATTGTTTGATATGAACAAGTCTCACGACATCAATGTAAATCAAAGAAAGAATGGAATCATAAACAATAAAGAATAATCAGTGGCTTCTTCTGAAAATTAAGGAAAGCAATAGAGGAATGTACTTATTAGTTACAGCATTAGTACCTGCAATGGCTTCTTCAGCGACTTTGGCATGCTGCTTAACCAAGTCTTCTTTGGCATTGACATTCACAAGTGCAGCAGACAGCTTCTCTGACATATTCTTCAACCCATCATTTATATCATTTTCTTGTACATTTTTTATATTTTCATTTTTTCCATTTTCATCATTCTCCAAGTCTAATGAACCATCATTTATGATGTCTGTAGTAGGTTCAGGTGTAGAGGTGACTTCTTCAGGCAATTGTGCATTGATAAGTGAACTATGATTACCATCTTCAGCATAGGCCACAGCTTTTGAGGTGACATCAGGTGACTGATTGCTTCCGTTAGGAGAATCCTTTAATGCCTCCTGTTTTCAAGTTTCAAAACACCAAAATTCTAGACTTATCAATATGACAAAAAAGAAGAATAAAAACAGACGGTAAACTTTGTTCTGTTCATGGAATGTGCAGCAACAGGATCATTACATGCTGAATCTAGCAGGATCACAAGTCAATTTCCAGGAGGAGAAGGCATAAAAGATATGATACTCATGGTTGACTTAAGACCAATGAGTAATGATCAACACAAGTTGTTAAAATGTATTATTGCATGCACTTAACTTCGGCCACTCCACCACTATGGATCCACTTTTAGAACAGCTACTAAATACAGGATGTACAACGTGTGAATTTCAAAATGGCTACATAAAACTTGAATAATCAATTATCTATGTCTTCAGATCATTTGTTCAAACAATGTATGCCAAAAAAGAAACAGAAACCTATTTATATATTTTTTTCACATGGAAGACTAACCAAAAGAAGCTGAGATAAATACCCTTTAAGCTTCATCCTCAGTTATTATCATGTTGCCATCATTAAATAAATAACTTCAACCTGAAATATTCTAGGGAGAAAATTTATTTGAGGAACCTGGTTTTATTGAAAGAACATATTAATTAATGACAACTCTTCCAGTCCTTAGTCAGTTGTCACTCATTTTCCCAAAAATTATACCAATGAGTGATGATGATACAAGATTCAAAACAAAGCTTAGCAAAGACTTATGAGCACACTTATGTGTATACTCATCTCCCATTAGGATATTGAATTACAGAAAAACAGAAAAGAAGGAAGAATACAACAACAAAAAACAAAATAGTCTTAGTTTGACAGTAAGTGAATGATTAACTTTATCTGCTAACAAGTAAGGAATCTCATGTTCAGCATACAAAAAGTAGTCAAATGTAAATCCAAATCTTGTGACCAGTGTTTATGAGCTATCAGAAAAGTTCAAAAAAGTTAAGCAGCCAAATGCTAAACAAGTATTAGATTAGGCACCCCATTTTGCTATTGATTCCAGATTGTTTGTCATACCTGTTCATCTGAGAACCTCTCAGAATGAGAAGAAACAGATCCTGAACTTTCAGTTTCACCAGGGCTCTTCTCAGAAGACTTCCTCTTCCATAACCACCGCTTCTTATCCATCATTGGGTCTAACAATTTGACATTAGCTTGAAAATTGAGGGGCATTCATCTGCAGACAATAGTACCCAAAATGCTCAGAACCTCAGTCAAAACCCACAACAAAATCCTCTTCAAGATGTTCAATACTATAATGAAGAGAAAAACATGAACAAGTTGAAGCCAAGTTTTCAGCTTGTTACACAACAGACACTCCAACCTACATGCCCTAACCCAGAAAACACACTTCTTTTAACAACTTAGTGATTCAAAAAAATTTAAAAAATAAAGAAAAGAAAAGATAACTTTGCTGAGCATTCCCCACCAGCTTTGCTTATAAACACACAGATTATAAAATTAAAACAAGAAACCTTTTCGCTCCATTATCATGGACAAAGTCCCACAGTTCTTGAAACATCATTGAGACCCCTTTTTCCTTCACAAAGTTGAAATTCAAAATCCAATCGCTACACAACATTTTGCAGCACATTCACTGACCCAGACAAGGGAATAAAACAGTAGCTGGCTGCAGAAAACAGGTTTACAAAAATAAATAAAAACTGGAGCACACCCAATTCCCAAATGAAAAAGATCCTAAAACATGACCTACCCATTTCAGCCATTCAACTAAAAATACCTCAAACATTCCCAAAACACTCCAATAAATACTAAAAAACCCAAAAGCATTAAAAAAAAAAAAAACATTTTCTTTACAATCAGAGAAGTCTTCAACTGAGAAAGGAAAAAAAATGATCAAATACCTTCAACCAGATAGGCCAAGTGAGACAAACCAACTAGAAAAATAGCTGGAAGGAAACAATAAATGGAGGCCAAAGAAGGGCTCGGAGTACAGAATAGAGAGATTAAAGAGAGTAGAAGAAAAGGAACAAAGGTATTAAATGAGACCAATAAAGGAAAACAACAAAAAAAAGGGGAAGCAAAAACTCTGTAGAATGTCAGTAACAGTGAGCATTCACATAGCAACAGCTCCGTAACAGACAATGAATGGATTGGGTTTGGGTTATTGAAAAAACAGTGGCTTCCATTTCTTGTTTTATTGCTTCTCTTTTTCATTTTCATTTTTAAATATAAATAAATTAGAGGGCCATGTGATTGTAAATGTGTCAGAGTTGTGAAATTCAAGGGTGCGTTTGTGGGGTGTGTGACCACAAAAACACTTTTTCAGCTTTATAACGAAAACGTTATTTATATTTATAATTGAATAATTTGAAATTGAGCTTCTCTTGTTCCCGCCCATGGATCAGGACAAGCCTAGTAGTCATTCATTGTCCATTCCGTTTCCCTTCTTATTATTGTGTCTCTCTCTGTCCACCAAACCTATAATGCCAACTCTGTTTTCTTTTTTTGTTTTTATTTCAATTTTCGTTGGTATATTAAAATAATACATATTTTATATAAAATATAAATTACCTCACGAAAAACACCACTAAAACCTTTTCAGAAGTAATCTATAAATAAAATATATGATGGAGTGTGTCAATGATGTTTTCCTAAAAAATTATTTTAAAAATTTTAATTAATGTCTTAAAGATATTTATTAAAATTATTTTAATTATTAGTAGCATTTTGTGCTTGTTTGTTTGCTTCATCACAGAGTTTGGTAAAACTTTTTCTCCTTGAAACAGATGAAATGTATCTATTTCACTCCAAAATTTAAAAGGTAGAGTGTGAACTTTGAGAGGAAAATGTAGGGTCAGCTAATTGCGTTCATGTCATTTTCCTTAACAAATTGAGACTTAGCTAGCCAATGAAAATGTTACCTGCTCTCTTCACTTCACTATACAACAAAGCTGTCTCGTCTTGATATTGTGGGTGTCAAATCTATTATCTATAAATAAATAAATCTAAGAAGGAAACAAATAGTAATATTTAAATTACTTAAATCTCATGAATTTTCGATCATAAGATAATTATAAAATCATAGTATTATTTAAGAATTAATTACTAAGTTGAGTGGATTTTTAACTATGTTTAGATAATATTGAGCAAAAGGAACATGCACCACAAATCAGAGTATAACATATGTCACATTCTCATGTGTGACTTTTTTCATTTGTTCTATTCACTAGAAACTGACTTGAGATATGTCCTATAGTTGAAATTTAAATCTTAATTTTTCTTCTATTTTACTTTAATTTTTTATATTGATTTAAATTTTAAAGTCAAATTTAATTTATTTTTTTTATTAATTAAAATTTGAATTTAAAACTTAATTTTACTAATGTTTAAATTTAAATTTCAAATTTTTTAATCTCAAACTTTAGTTGAAGTCAGAGAGAAATTTAACTTTTAACTTCAAATTTTAGTTAAAATGAGAGGGAAATTAAATTTAAATTTTAAAATTTGGTCTAAATGAGAGAAAAATTAAGATTTAAAATATAAATTTAATTTCAATACAAAAATGTAGAATTTAAAATGTATTATGAGTAAATTTCTAATGTGTGGAATAAAATAAAAAAGAACAATACACTAAGATTTAACATGTAGTGTTTCTAGTATTTGACACCCTTCCAATACGAGATACACACTAGAGTCATGTGTCTCTATGCATAGTCCTTATTCATTTTGTTAAATATTATTCAAACACAATTAAATTAGGTATTTTAATAATTAGTTTTTAAATAATTGTTTGAATAACTATTTTTTAAAATTGTCTTATCATGATGAAAAAGCCCAAATTATATTCCATATCATTGATAAAATATGATAAATAATACATATTTTATTATTTAACGTAAAGTAATTTAGAAAAAAAAGTTAAATTAAAATTGATTTTATATATTAAAATAATAATCCTATTATTAAAAGTAAGGTATTTTATGAGTATTTTTCGTCCAAATTAAAGTTAGTTTAATAATTTTTTATTTTATGTATTAAATTACTAATTTTATTCTAAATAAAAATATCATAGTAATTAACATTATTAGAATTGTTGTTATAATTAATATTTGAGTTTAATGTTGTTGTAACTCTTTTTTGTTATTTTCTATTATTATTATTTAGTTATCTTCTTTATGTTCTTGTTTACGTGTATCGTAATTTCTTCCTCTTATTATTTCTCTACTTCTCTTAATTTTTCTAACTCTTTTTCCTTCTTTATCTTCTTCTTTCTTCTCATTTTTCTATTTTCTACATTCAAAAAAAAGAAACATAGTGATTTACAAACTTTTAGAAAAGATTTAAGACAAGTTTTAATCTTTACAAAATGAAATGCTCAATAGAGACAATGATTCATAGATAAAAATTATGGTGGTGACTATTGGTGGCAACATAACATAATGGAGCAATGATAGTGCTTGATAAAAAAAAAAAAAGTGAAGATTGTAACACTCTCTCTTTTTTTTTAATTGTTTGTTGTTATTAATTATGATTGAATAGTGTTTTGATTTGAAAATCTTAAATGAAGTTTGCTGCAAGGAGTCTTACTCAAGCGAGACTAATCATTTTGAATCAAATGATTCTAGAGCTTTCTCGCTCAAGTGAGATGAACCTCACCTAAGAGAGATATGATAAAGTTGCCTCAACTATCTTCTCGTCCAGACGAGATTGGGCTCACTTAAACGAGGAATCACAAAAAAATGAATAGTTCTCTATACCCCTTCTCGCTCAGGCAAGAATGACCCTTACTTAGGCGAAATATAAAAAAGAAACCTAAAAAATCATTGTCTGATGTTTTTGCCTAAACAAGATGGTACCTTGCTCAAGCAAGAGCACACATATTTGAGGGGTATTTAAGGGATTTCAACTCAAAATTTGCATTACAATCCAAGTTACCCTTTTCTCTTATTTCGCTTTGAACTCTCATTTTCTTTCCTCAGAGAAACCTCATTTAAACCCCAATCATTTCTTGAATATGAACTTGAACGTTTAATCTGATTGACTCAAAGTAAGTATTTCAAAGCTTAGTTTTTCAATCTCTGTTCTTTCTCTTCATTTTCTATTGTTTTCCTCAAAAGTGCTCTATTTTGTGATGTTTAGGAAGAGCTTTATTCTTTGAATGATATTCTCCACAAATCTCCTTCCTAAATCTTCATTTTAAGGTAAGAAGAGCTTTATTTTGTCACTATAACATAGTGTATATTTTGTACTCATGAGAATACTATTATTTGTTTTTTGCCAATAAATGTATGATTGAATAATATTTAATTGTTGTGAAAGGTTAATGATATATGTTTGGTTGGTTTTAGATGATTGTATTGTATTTCATAATATGTGTATTAGATGGACTTAATCTGGAAGTGTTTTACTAAAAACACAATCTCTTTTAGCTAAATAGTGAAAATAAGATGAAAGAAAGTGTATGATAGTACAAAGTGATGAAAAGAATTAGTATAAATAGTTACGAAGATAAATTGGAAGTATAGAATTTGGAGACGATTAAGAAATCTTAGAAAAATATAGGGTGGTGAACGACATTCACGTATGTGTATAAACTTTTTCTCTGAGAGTGAATGTGTCACATGGATTCACACTTATTTCTTGATTAGACTCTTGACTATACCTTTGCTAAAGGGTTGTTATTGTATAAGTTATATCCGTGTCCATGTGATTAGAAACGACTATTTACCTATCTGTGTAAGAGCTTATGAAGAGCTGGAGACATTAAATATATGTGATCACAGTTGATAAGTCTGTATTTAAGCCTGTTTTTATATCTAATATATTTTATGTTTAGCCTTTATTTTATTTGGGTTTTGCACTTATTTATATATTAATTTTGTAGTTTAGTATAAGGCCATAGTTGGGTTTAAGCGCGTTTTGGGCCCAAATTGATTATAAAATAGAGCTTCACAACAGTTAATATGCCTAGACCTTAGAAGCGAATATGGGAGTACTTTAAGCCTATGCACGACTATGTTCATTTGCGGTAAACCCAATTAATGAAAAGCCTTTAGGATTTTCAAACCCTATTATAAAGGGACTTCAAGCATCCTATTCTATATTTTGTCCTTGCTCTATGATTTACCTCTGATCTCTCTAACCTACCCTCGACCCTTTGACACACTCTTAGCAGGACTTCGAGCTTCGAGCGACCATACTTGAAGACCAGAAACTCATCTCATCTCCAGTTTGCTATTTTCTTTGGATTATGGTTTTGTTCATGAATGTTTCAGTTCTTTTCTTTAGTATGAGTAACTAAGTTCATAGCTAGGGCCATGAGAATTCTTGTTTATGAATTTATGAGATTTTAAAATTTGAATCTATCTTTGATTTTTGTCTGTGATTAGTGTTTATTTTATTGCACAAAATTGTATAATCCTAATTAATTATATCATTAGGCGACCATACCTTGATTAGTTAGTGGATCTATAGGATAAAATGAGACAAAGGATTAGGTAGATCAAACCAATCTTTCTCTTCTAATTTTTATTAAAGTAACAAGTTTATAGGTGCTTTATGCTTTTTTGAATTAATGTCTTGCATGACCATTGTGGATGTTAGTTTAGAGAAAAGCATGTTAATATTTCATGACCATTGGGTAGTTATAATAATTGTATAAATTATTGGTAATCACAAGGAAATCGAACTTAGAATTAAATAGAAAAGTAACATAAAGGATTGAATGAGAAAACTCATATACCCTAGGTTCCTCTCCTATAAGTTTAACCAAGACGTGTATGTTGTTACTTGTTTTTATTCACAATTGATTTTATAATTAAATTCTTATTTTAATTAATCTCATATCCTTTAAGTTCAAACAATTGAATTAGAAAATTCTTAGTAATTGGAAAACAATCCTTGTGGGACGATAATTTCGAGAGCTTAATTTATGAACCCTATATTACTTTTTGATGGGTACACTTGTCCACCGAACAACAGTGCATGAAAATTGTGTATTTGAGGGAGAAAATTATATGAAATTATGTTTGAGTATATATGCATTTGTGGAAATTCACTACTAGAATATAAACAGAAAATATAGACAAATTTTATCCGTCTGTAATACAGACAAATTTATAGATGGATATTCTATTATTTTTTTTTTAGAGAAATCTGTTTGTAAA